GGAGCCGCAGTCAGGGTCTGCGCGGCCACGCCGGCGCGTGCACGGCGGGCGGGTGGGCGCGCGCGAGGGCCCCCGGCCCGGCCCACCCGCGGCCTGGCGGCGGCGACCAACCTTGGGCAGCTCACGGAGCTGGTTGGCGTCGAGCAGAAGCTCCTCGAGGGAGCGGCTGTAGCGGTAGACGTCGTCGGGCACGGCCTGCAGCGAGCGGTGGCGCCGGTCCAGCGTCTCCACCTGCCGGTTGCAGCGCCACAGCGGGGGCATGCAGCGCAGCATCCTCGCCGCGGCCGGCGCCCGGGGCCGGCGCCGCCCGGCTCCTCTCAGCGGCCCGCCGCAGGCGACGGCGGCTCCTCCTCCCCGGCCTGAGGGCCGCCTCACTGCGCGCCGCGGGTCGCCCGGCCGCCCCGCGCGGGCCCTTCGTCCCTCGGGCCGCCGCTCCCTTCGCTCGCTCTCCCGCTCGCCCTCCGCGGCTGGAGCGGCCCCTCCGCCGGCGCCGCACCGCGCCGCCCCCGCGCAAAGCTCGATGGGAAAGGGCGGCCGCCCGCGCCCCCGCCGACTACGGCTCCCAGCGGCCCCCTCGCGCCACCGGAAGGAGCGCGCCGGCGCATCCGGCAGCGGGAGGGCCTGGCCGCCGAGCGGGCTGGGCGCCCGCCTGCGTGCGGCCCCCGTCGTCCCTCCGCGGAGGCCCTTGGCGCGCGGCCGCCGGGCCTGGCTCCGCTCGGCCCCTCCCGCCGCTGCTCCCCCGGCTGAGCGCGAGGGGCCTCCCGGCTTCCCGCCGGGGGCTCGGGCGGGCCGGCGGGCCACGCAGAAGCTGCGCGGAAGCCCCTTCCGACAGGTCGAACGGCCCCTGCCCGGCGGCGCGAGGGGAGCCGCCACCGCCTTCCGCGCGCCCGCCGCCCCCGCCCCCGCCCCCGGAGCCCCCGCCGTCGGGCCTCGCAGCCCGTCCTGCGCCCGGTCTGTGCGCTATTAACTGGGCGAGCCTGGGCGGCCATCACGGCCCTCGTGTCCCCCTTCTTTGACCTTCCTCTAGCTGCGTGAGGGGGTGTCACACGGAGGCGGGCCGAGACCTGTTCTCCCCCGCAGAGGAGGGCAGGACGCGCTCCGAGGGAGCCGAGCTCAGGGAACCCAGGTCCCATTTGGATGCCGGGGAGCCCTTCCTGCCAGTCGGGACCCCCAGGGCGTGGGGTGGGCTTCCCCGGGAGGTGGCTGAGCCCCCGTCGGTGAGGGTGTCAGTGGATAGCTGGACATGCACATGGTGGGCATCATGAGCGGAGCTGGATGGGGCCGTGGGTCAGACTGGATGGCCCGGGAGGACCCTTCTGACTTGCTCTGTTTCTGTGTATTTTGGAACTTTTAGTTTAGCCCTTCATTGTAGGAAAGATACTCTAGTAAACTTTGAAATTAGCAGATCCTTCTCAAGTTCTTCCACATTTTAGATGTGCATGACAAGGCTATGACATGCTTTCTCCTTTTATTCCATGACTGCTTAGTTTGCTCAGGAGCCTTTGGTGACTTTGTCGGAAGCCTTTTGGTAGTCCAAGTAATCAGCCTTGGGTGATACTGGATCATCCAGTCCGTGTCATGTACTCATTGACACTCTCAGTTCCAATCAGTTAGTGAGACAAGACTTGCCCTTGTGAAAGCCACTGTGATTTGGTTTTTTTTCCAGCAGGGGTTGTTCCTCTATGTGCTTACTGATTTTAATTATGCTTTCAAGCATTTTATCTAGAACATATGTTAACTGGTCTGTAATTCCCTGAATCCCCCTGGATCCATTTTTAAAAATTGGTGTACATTGGTAATTCTCCATTCCTCTGGTACAAAATCTGATTTTAGGGACATTAATAATTTTAGTTAAAAGTTCAGCAATTTCATGTTTGGGTTCTTAGTAATTCTAGGGTGAATTCTGCGTAGGCCAGGTGACTTGCTGACTTTGTTTGAGGTTGAGAATTCATCTTTGGTCACTACTCCTTGCCTTAATTCCTGAGACTTCCTTCCAGAATACATAAACTTAGGGACAAGTATCTGCTGTGAAGACTGATGCAAAGAATTTATTCAGCTTCCCTGCAGTCTCCTCACCCCCTCACCTTAATGCTCCTTTAATTCCATTATCAGCCAATGGCCCATCTGCTTCCTGAGCTGCTTGCTTTCTGCAAATATATTTAAATAATTATTTATTGTTAACCTTGATGTTGTTAGCAATGTGCCCCTTGCTTTTCGGATCACCTGCTAGCATCTCCCTTGTGCAAGCTTGCCTCTCATCTGCTTTTCTCATTTGGGCAGGACTTCCATTTTTTCAAGGAAACTTTCTCTGTGTGCCATCATAGCTGATGCCTTGGACTTTGTGCTACCTTTTCTCACTTCTGGTGTGCATATTATCTGAGCCTCTGTCATAATGCTTTCAGTAATTTCCAAGTGCTTTGATGAGATTTAAACTTCTTGATTCTCCTCTTCATCAGTGTCTTCTTCACCGATTCTCTCATTTTTGAGAAGCTTCCTTTTTTGTCGTCAAATATGTGTGTTGGGCTTCTGTGTCAATTTTCCACTTAACTGTATACTAAATCAAGTAAGACTGGTTACCATTTCCACCTTGTTCAACAACATTTACATCTTATGCCAAGTCCTAGGTAACAGCACTTGGGAGTAAATCTAGGGACACCTCTAGGGAACAGTTGTTTAGAACATTGAGAAAGGTGACATCTTTGTCATCATTGGAACATGTATTTGCCCAGTTAATTGGAAGGATGGACTGAAGCTACCCGTGATTACAGCACTTCTTCATCTGAAGGCCTCCCTGATACTTTCCATCACAAGATTGCCCTGAACATTGTCACATACGGAATGATAGCAGGTTTCTAAGACTAAATTAGTCTTGGATCCAGCTGTCGTCACTCACGGGGCTTCTGTGGAGCTGCACCTTTTAAATTTTTGGGCATCTTGGACTTTGATATGTGGAGCAACACCTCCCCCAGCAGCATGGGTAAGCATCAATGAGTTTTTGAAATCAGATTTTAAAATGGATTTGAATGGGATTTTTAAAAATAAAATGCTTTTTGAGGAAAAATCTATCTAAAGTTAGTTTTCTGTTTAAGATACACTATAGTCCAAAGGTTATTCTTCGTAAAATAAGGGTTAGCTTTTAATTATGTGGCATGAAGCTGTATGTTCATGCAATGTTTCACACACTGGGTAAATTAATTCCATTATTCCATTCACAATGTCATGCTGTTCCAGAGGTTTCTGCAAGATTGTTGGGCAATTTTTTAAACCAGATTTCACCACAGATGCTTGGTTTTACACTTATCAAAACTGTGAATTTGTGTCTGCAGAATCATGGTAGAGTTAGAAGGGGCCATGAAGGTCTACACACCTGTAACAAGTGCTTCTGTGTCTAATAAAAGAATCTACTACCACACACTTCTCCCGTGAGACAATATTTGCTCATCTAGTCAGATTATAAAATTTGAATAACTCTACATGCCATTCATTTCTTATAGAAAACAGCAATTTGATTTGGACATGAATAAACTGAGAGCTTATGCAATGCTGGAGTAAAATTTGAGTAGTGGATGGCATTATGTGTTGAAAAAATTAGGATTACTTTGTTTGGTGATTGTTAACGATATCAGTTTCATGTGTAATTATGATTTTATATAATTTATGTGATGTTCTGTCTGTTGCATATTTATAATCAAAAGATAAGGAAGAACTCCAGAAGGTTGGTGAGGCAGGACTTTCCTTTGCAGAAGCCATGCTGATTTTTCTGCAATAAAATTTTCTCTGTATGCTTAGTAACAATTGTAGGTATTGACAGCTGGTATTAGACTAGTAACCCTATACTGACACAAGGTTTCTCCCCGCAAAATGGGTGGAGGGCAGTTTTTGGAAATGTCTCTGCTTCCCTGTCAAAATCTGCTTCAGAGTTCAGAAATCTCCCAAAACAGATTAAGGGGTACAGGTCTCCCTCCCCGTTCTGTAAAGGGATGCCTTCTGTTCACAGGCAGACATGCCAGTGGTGCCTGGTGGGCCACTGAATGAACGCAGTGCTGGTCCAGAGGGGCCTGCTGGGGCCTGGGGCCAGCACAGCTCTTCTTGTGCTCTTATCCAGAACAAGCATTGAGGGAACTGGCTCTGGCCTCCAATATCCCGGATCTCTCTTAAAAACTGGTATTACGTTGACTGTCCGGTCTTCCAGCAGGGGAGCTCAGACTAGCAATTCCACTTTGGGGGTCCAGTGGAACCAAAGAACGTTTCCTTTTCAGTTAGCCCAACTCGCATGCTGCTCAGCCCTTACCGTCTTCCCAGGAAAAACGAGCCCCAGACTGGCTACCTGCCCCATTCGCCGTGGCGGAGGTCAGCAGTAAGGAGTTCTAGTTCATGCCCGCACACACACAACATGGGAATGGTCATCTTTTTTCTTTGCACTTTTATGCAAAATGACATACAGATCACAGGAACAAACAATGTGGGCCCAGGGGCGTAACTGAACACACGAAGGAGTTGAGAACACAGAAAAGTCTCTCTGGAGCAGAGTTCATGCTGACAGGTCACTGTTGTCAAACCTTTCCTGGTCATACACCTCAGCCACAACCTTCCTGCCAGCAAACCAACGGCCGTTCAAAGCTTGGATGGCTTTGTGAGTCTCTGAGGCCATGGAGAACTCAACAAAGATCTTGACGATGATCTCAGCATCTTCCTCCTCGCCTTGCTTCTCTTGGTATATGATGACTCTGTTGACAGCCCCAAACTTGCCACACTCCTCTGTCACTTCCCCTTCCAAGTCATCATCGATGTCTTTGGGGTCCACCATGTTCCGCAGGACCATTACGGTTGACTGTGGGGAGAGCAGAGGGACAAGGTCTCGTACCTCCAGGCTAACATGGACCGTAACGCCTGACCCCAAAGCTAGTGTGAAGCCACCAGCACCTCAGCGCACTAGTCACACTCCCCTCCCTTGCCCTCCACCTCCAGCCAGAACACGAAGCAAGATCTCTATAACCCCCACCAGCCACAATGCGGCCAACAGTCGCCACTCAGCAGCACCCCTGCGTTCTGCTGGCAGACGCCTGCCCCGACTCACCTCCTGCTTCCGAAGAAGCTTCTGCATCACCATATGGCGGGCGCTGCTGCCAGAGATGCTCATGTGCTCCTGTTCGCTGAGCATCTCGGGCCTCTCTGATTCCTGGAAAATTTCTTCCTCTTCCTTCTCCTTCTTAGTCTCTAGCAGGCCCAGTGTCGGGGGACTGGCCAAGATGGGGTTCACTACACCCACCTGGGGAATGGTGACAGGAATGGGTGGGCGTGCCGGAGTCACACCTGTGGGAAAAGCACAGCTCAAATGTGCTGGAGCAGCAGCAGACGACAACTCACGCCAACCAAGTTCCAATGCACAAATCAAGAAGATGTCCAGCTCTATCGGATGCATGCAGCATTTCTTACACAGGCAGTCCCTGGCTTAAGGAGGAGATTTGTATGCAAGGTGATCACATGAGTAAGCCAAATGCTCCTCTTAGTATGTGTACGTATTTTACCTCTCTATGCATATAAAACATGCAAGAAATACTTCCATATTCACTGAAGCATCTTAAACACAATATAGCACTGTAATACTGATAATAATACTGTAATAATAAAGAATACAGTACAGGTACTCGAGAGAGAATCTGTGTGTGTGCGCAAGGTCTACAGTATTGTAAAAAAACTAACAAAAACAGTTCTTAAAACAAGTTTAGAACATTTTTGAGTTAACATTAAGCCTAACGTTAACTGATGATAATGGAGATGAACTGGCTGCTGGCCAGCCAGGCTCTGCTTGTGCTGCTGGAGAGCGGGGCGGTTACCACTGGAGTCTAGTGTCCGATGCCGTGGAACAGAAAGCTCTAGGGAATTACACAGCCACTGAGAGAGGTGTTGCATAGTTCCCTAGAGATACTCACTGCTTTTCACCAAAGAGATTCGTACAGGGTTTATGACAGTCCATGTGCTTCTAAGTATGGGCTGTTCATAACCCAGATGTTTATTACCCAGGGACTGTCTGTATCCTACTTCTCCACAAGAATATAAGAAACAGCAGGCTGGACCAAAGCAGCCAGCTGTCCACAGGAAACTCAAAAGCAGAATGTGAGTGTAACACTGGACATCCTTAAAGAATTCTGAAGGGTTAGTGAGGCAAGACATACTTTTATGGAAACCATGCTGATTATTTCTCTGTAGGGCTTGTCCTTCAATATGTTTACTAATTTTTCTTTAATAATGCTTTCATTGACATTATGCTAACTGGCCTATAATTTTCCAAACCTGCCATGGATCCCCGTTGGCCATTTTTGACTCTTTTGGCACAGAAGCTGATCTTGAGGGACATTTCGCATGCGTCACAAATTTCATATTTAAATTCTTTGAGAACTCTAGGATGAACTCACTCTGGGCCTCCACTTTTTCAATGAAGCTGAGAATATAAAGCCAAGCCCAGACTCACTACCACCCAGTGGTGAACCTCCCCTTTGGAGTGAGTGGTGCCTGGGCAGCTCTTGGATCTCGGAGGAAGCCAATTTAGGAAAGAGCCTGCCTGGGCCAGCCTGTCCAGTGACCTCTGCCAGGAAGGAGACAGAGGGAGTGCAGCCCTGTTGGTTCTCGGCAGCTTTCGACACCCTCAACCATGGTGTCCTCCTGGATCGGGTGGCCAGCTCGGGGGCGGAGGCACTGCCTCGCAGCAGTTCCGCTCCTTCCTGACCAGCTGTGTCCAGAAGGTAGTGCTGGGGCGCAGTTGCTCTGCCCCATGGAGGCTGTACTAGGGGGTTCCACAGGGCTCTAAACCATCTCCCATGCTGTTCAACATCGACACGAAACCGCCAGGAGAGGTCTTCAGGAGGTTTGGACTGAGGTGTCGGAAGTATGTGGACAATGCTCATCAGTACATCTCACTTACATCTAATCCAGGTGAAGCAGTCTCTGTGCTGAACCTGTGTCTGGATGAGGGTCAATAAACTGAAATGCAATCCAAACAAGATGGAAGTACTGCTGGTAGGTGGGTTGTCTGACAGGTTGGAAGGAGCTGCACGCCCCCCAAAGGCCGGGGTCCACAGCTTGGGGGTGAACCCAGGACTAGCCTGGGTGGCCCAGGTAGACTTGGTGGCCAGGGGCACCTTCCTTCAGCTGGGATGGATATGCCAAATTTGCCCCTACCTGAACAGAGAGAGCCTGGTCACGGTTACTCACGCTCTGGTAACATCCGGATTAGATTACCGTAACGAGCTTTACATGGGGAAGCCTTTAGAGATGGCCTGGCGAAGGCAGCTGGCTCAGCATCAGGCTGCACGTTTAGCAGCAGGTGTTTGTTCGTGGGCCCAAGTGGCACCAGTTTTATACAAACGACGCTGGTTGCCGGTTGCAGGGCTGGGGTCCATTTGAAGTGCTTGGTTTGACGTATCAAGCCTGGCTACCGTCGGGACCGTCTTCCCCTATACACACCTGCCCACCCATTCAGAGGTGGGGAGGAGGTCCCTCTGAAAGAGCCATCCCGCAAGGAGCTGGATGGGGTGGCACCTAGGAGGGCCTTTTCGGTGGCTGCCCCCCACTTATACAATAGGTCCCCCAGAGAGAGTCACCAGGTGCCAACACTATTCTCTTTTTGGTGCCAAGCAGAAACATATCTCTTTGCCAGGCATTTTAACAACCGATTTGAACTTATTTAACGTTAATAGTGTGCACAGTCATCCCTTTGTCACTATATTTATTACTTTAAATGGCAACTATAATGTTGTTTTATTATGTTTTTATATCTATTTATTGAATCATTATTTTTAAGAACGGTGCTTCTGATTAATATTATAATCTGCCTAGAGATTCCTGTTGGAATAGTTGGCAGCGTGCAAGAGCGTAACCAACAAACCGATAAAACACTCCCGTCATCAGCGTTTGCTGCAGGTCCTCAGGCCCCATTCCTGAGGCAGGAGCAGGTGCCCGTCTGGCATCTTCTGCAGTGAAGGCAGAACAAAACAGGGCATTCCACTTCTCCACAATCCCCGTACCCTGCTTTAGTGCTCTTTAACTCCATCATCATTTAACCACCTCCCTAGCCGATTTTTTGCTTCTGACCCATTTAAAGAATTCTTCATTGCTGCCCTTGGCACTGCGAGAGATGCCCCCTCCAATGCTCTTTCGCGTCTGGCTTGGACACACTTGTGCTCCCTCGTGTGTCCTCCAGCAGGCAAGCCCTCGTTCTCTGAAGAAAGGCTCTTCTGGAGCGGCTTCCTTGGCCTTCCTCATTAATCGCACTGGTGCCTTCTTGGACTTGATGATACTTTTACTAACTTACGGCTTACGATTCTTGCTGAGCTTCTATTGTGGTTAACCACCAGGCGTCTAAGGGATTTAACCATCTTGTCCCTCCCTTTCAAATTCCTTTGCAGCACTTCCCTCATTTTAGAGAAGCTTCTTCTTTTGAAGTCAAAGGTGACAAGGTTGGACTTCGTGTCCATTCTCCACTTGACTATACACTGGGAGCGCTGTGCTCACTCCTTCAAGCAGGCGCATCACTATTTGCATGTCATCGCAGGCCCTGGGCAAATGAGTTCGGGCCAAGTCCAGGCTGAGACGCTCCATGCTTGATCAGAGCAGCGGCCTGTCCAGGCCAGTACTTTGTTCACGTGACGGCAAACCACCCTCTCACCCATCCTTCAAGTGGGATGGGCCGAAGAGGTTCCTTGGCCCATGCTCCCCAACAACTGGCGGAGGCAGGCAGAGTGCCTCTCATGGTGGAGGCAGCACACAGTCAACAAGTCTAGCAGCCACTGGAAGGATTCTCCTCCAGTCCCCTTTCAAAGCTGCTGCACTTGGTGCCCGCCAATGCTTCCTGTGGCAGTGAATTCCACCCTTCACTACTTCTTTCTCTCCCATTCATGGAATGACCTACGAGGAGGGGAGAATTTTCTTTTTAATTAAAAATTTCCTTTTTAGTTGCCACTAGCAGCTTAGTTCCTCACGCTCGCTTACAGAAAGCATGGATTCACAAAGAGGCTTCTCTGCAATCGCCTCTCTCCTCTTTAGTATTCCCTTAGTACAACTTGCTGTCCAATGGCCGCTCTGCCTGGTTTTTTTCTTCACAAAAGCATACAGGACTATATAGAGAATTATATACTGTCGATCTTTATGTTGTCGGTGATATTCTGCTCCCGCAGGCATTTCTTTGCTTTCTCCTTTGGCCTGCCTGCATTTCTGTGCCGCAAGCTCGTGCTCCTTTAGGCTCACTTAGCCTGGGCAAGTCTTCCGTTTGCTGAAGGACGCCTTCTGCTCCGTTCACCGCTCCCTTGATGCTCTTTGTTAAACCTGGTGGTAAAGGACGCAGTTCACCCTCCCTTTCCGAACACGCGGGACACGGGGGGCTCAGCTTCCGTCACTGTGGCTCTCGGTGTCACTTGATGTGCTTTTCATCGACACTTTACGGCACTGCGAGCGCACCAAGGGAGAACCCCTCCCATTCTTTGGGCATGTGCCGTCGGCCTCACTCGCACCAGGGTTTACTAAGGCATGTCTCTGCAGAGAAGGAAACCCTCCGCAGCCAGTTTGGTTCTGCGTGCTTCAACCGTGTGCCCAATCAAGCTGTCCTGCCCCTTCACGACCTGGAGCATCTTGACCATTTTGTGCGCGCCGAGTGGTGCCAAGCACGATCACATTCATTTCAGTTCCGGCTTGCGGCACAACAGAATGTGGAGGAGCAGAGCAGGGGAGGGGCAGCGCGTCCTTTGCAGGGCACTGCAGGAAAGAGCCCCGGCAGAGGAAAACCGGCCCGGCTTCAGGCAAGGGCAGTCCTGCCCCGCAGCCTCCCGACCTCACCGAAGGCTCTCGGGGTTGAGAGCACCCCGGGCAGGGGAGTGGGACGGCTGAAGGTCAAGGTCGGGGCGACGCAGCGTCGCAGTGAGCAGGACTGGCCAGGCCTCTCCAGCCCGGCCTCCTGCCTCCTGCCGTGGCTGGCCCCAGCCCTCCGGGAAGGCGTTTATTTGCCGCATTCGTATGCCGCCCGTGGCCACAGGCTCTCTGGGCGGCTCACAGCACAGGGAAACATACCGAGTGATAACGCCCCATTTCCCCACAAGGACTGACGGCCAGCAGAGCCAGCGGCCTTCAACAGATGCGCCTGTCCACCCGCTCCATCTGACCCGGCCTTAATTTCCTTTGCGAAGTCAGCCGGGCCAGTGGCCACATCACCCTCCCTCAGGCAGCAGCTGGTCCCATATCCCTTCCTTTTGCTTGCCCCAAACCCCTCCCAGTTTCACCACATTCCAGGGTTGTAAGGAAGGCAACTCCCCACCCTCGATCATTTTTAGCCTGTGTGATGTGCTGCTCCATTCCTCCCTTCCAGTGCCCCTTTCCCATAGTAGAAGCCCACAGAATGTCGGCTTTTCTCAGAGGAAAAAAGAGGCACTGCTTTCCCCGTTCAGAGGCTGCAGCCACCCGCCATTTGGCTGCCAATTCCCCAGCCTGGAGCCTGTGTGCCGGAGCTCTCTGCAGTCCCCTTAGTCTCCCCCAGCCCAAATGATGCGGCTAAATCCCTCTGTTTTAAAGAACACAGAATCTGTGCACTTTTTGTAGGCACAAATCACAATCTGTTTGCTGAAGAACAAGCAGAGAAGGATGACTGGGAAAACAGAGGCAGAGCACTGGAAGCGGCACCTGTAGCTCCATCCCAATGAAGGGGCGGCTCAGAGTTTGGCTATCGTTTCCCCTCATGCCAACCACCAACACCAGGAGCAGGTGAGACGCGCAGGGCCTGGCCGTGGCTTTAATTCCCGTGCTGAGCAGGCTGGAGTGCGGGTGAGGCAGCCAATCTGCAGATATCCCTGAACTCCAAGCAGACCATGAAGAGCTCCAGCCATCTCCCCAGGCGGGGCACGTGGGCCACCAGCAGGCCCACGGAGGCGTGTGGAGAGCAAAGCCGCCCATCTGAGACCATCCTTCTGCCTGCTGCAGCCCTACTGCACACACTGGCGGAGCTTAGCAACCAAGGACGCCCTGTGGTGAGGACAGCCACCCAAGCAAAGGTCCCGGCTCGGCCAGGGCCACTCTCCCTGCAGCCCTGGAAACGGCGGCCGACGCAACTGACTGAGCCAAGGCGGCCGTCGCGAGGCGTGCCCTGCTCTGCCTGCACACCCCAGATGGAGGACCCACCAGAGGGCGGAAAGGACTGACATGAAGCGCAGGGCGCAGCATCCTTTGGGACGGCCCACTGCCATTTGGAAGAAGGGCGAGTATCAGCCAATCAAGGTGCGCTTACGAACCCTCCACAGCCCCCCGGGGGGAGGACTCCTTTGCAGGCCAGGTGCCGGAGCAAAAGGGCAAAGCCGCCGTGTGTGCGAACTCTCAGGATGCCCCTGGAAAGGCTCCAGAGGGGCTGTCGGGCACCGAGTGGACGAGGTCAAGGGCGAGCCGCCCCCCGCCCAACAGACTCACCTGTGATCACACCCGGTGCCTGCGCAGCCATCACGGCCTGCGGGAGAGCCCCCAGGGGCTGGGCGAGGGTCAGTGCTGGCGTCACCAGTCCCGGGGTGGCCAATGTGCTGAGCACAGCAGCGCCTGTCACGCCTGCCACAGCCTCCTGCAACACAGGAATCCGCGGTGTGTCACTTCTGCCCAGGCAGCGCCAGCCTAGCTTTTGCAGAACAGAAGAGCAGGGAGGGGCCGGGAGGCGCTCCTGGCAGCCCCCAACTCGCCACTTGTCATACTGCTGGCAGGGAGGAAGCTCCTCCTGAGCTCCAGCCCGGAGCGTGGACCGCTGATTCTGTGTCCTGCACTCTGGTCCCGGCGAGAAGAACTCCTGGCCTCTCCTTGGGACCGGCAGAGGAACAGTCTCCGTCACAACCCTTGCCCTCCCCTCCATGCCTCACACAGCACCGATGCGGGCCACCTCCCTTGCTGCCCTGCCCATGTCAGAGCGGAGACAGATGCAGCCGCAAGGGAGGAAGGGAGCGAGCCGGAGTGCCAACACAAGAGGCGGCACCTACAGGGCAGACCAGGGGCGGGGGGGAGCACACGCCATCGGGGGCCACCGCTTCAAGACCCACCATTAAGCCAGACAAACCTGCCCCCAGCAGCTCCGCCCACTCACCCCCTGCCTCGTCGTTCTCCTGCTACTGCCAGCTCCACTTGGGGAGCCTCACCTGGACAGATGATGAGGACGAGCCTGGCCTGCCAGCGGCCCCAGGCCCCCTCCCCGCAGGGCTCGCCCACCCACCCTCCACATCTCAGCACTGTCTTGGGGGAAGAGGAAGAGGCGGGGCGTTGCGCGTGTGAGAGCAAGCGAGGGAGGCGTTTCTAGGCTCAAGCACTGCTACATCCAGCCCACGACAGGCTGTCCAGAGGGAACACCAGCCAGCCTGGGAAAGGGGCAGCTGCTTCTCCCTTCGTCTGGAGGAAGGGCAGCTCGCCTGGCCCCATTCACACCCCTGCCCCTGCCCCGTACCTGAGCAGTGATCTTCGCTGTGGCCGCTGCGGCTGCGACGGCAGCGGCAGGGGGCAGACCTCCTGGTGTTGCAGGAGTCAGGAGTGGCATGGGTGGAGTGACAGCTTTGCCCACGCGGAGGTACTGGCCCCCCAAGTCGAAGAGGTTCATGGAAGAGACGGCGTCTTGCGAGGACTGCGCCTTCTCGTACTCTGCAAAAGCAAGGCCAGGAGCATGAGCACTGCTGCCGCGCGAGCACACAAGAGGCAGCACCTGGGCCGGGCTGAGGGCGCTCCAGCCGGGCCCTCTGCTCACAGCGACCCGGTGCTTCGAGAGGGAACGGCGTATGCCTTACTACACTGAACCGTTTCTGAACTACACGCAGCAGCGTAAAGTAAGGCCGTCACAAACCCCCACGGGCCAGGCGTGCCCGCCGAGAAAGCCCAGCGCCTGCCTCCCTCCCTCCGCAAGGCTCTCCCGTGCGCGGCCAAGACCGCCTGGGGGCACCCTGCCCGGAGCATGTCAGGTCCTGGCAGTCCTTGCGGGGCTGGCCCACTGGCTCACCGATGAAGCCATAGCCCTTGTGCTTCCCGGTCGTGGGGTCTCGTGCCAGCGTGCAGGACTTGATCTTCCCAAAGGCCTCAAAGACACTCTTTATATCGTCGTCGGAAAGGTCCTGGTGAACTGACGCCACGTAGATGCGGTTGAACGCCCGGGCCTCTTCTGCCAGCTGATCGATGATGGGCTGGGCCTGGCCGATGTTGCTGGGCCTTCCCACCTGCGGGGAGGCGACGCTCTGTGACGGAGGCGGGCACTGCCGGGCTGGGAGACCGCCTGCGTCGCCACCACCCAGGATGGCCAGAAGGCCAGCCACCCGCACCCGCGGGCAGGCGGGCCAAAGGACAAGCCAGGAGAACCACAGGAAGGCGCTCCGGTGGCTCGGCACTTTCCTCCGGCACTGCGTGGGCGCGGGAACAAGGACAGCTCAGGACCGCCGCGGAACCCGGGGCCTGGCACGGGCCTCGGCTCCCTGCAGAGGGGGACAGGTGTCCCACGAACCCGATGATGGGGCAGGCGGTGCGTGGTGATGCGGGCATCTCACACGCCAGGCCAGGCGTTGGGGCCCTGCACTCCTCCCTCCCGCCACGAGGCGTGCAGACGGGCTGCGCCGAGCCTTCCTGGGCAGAGCTTCCCGCACCCACCTTGATGTTCCGCCCGCCCAGCATGACCGAGTTCATCTGTTCCAGGGCCAGCTGAGCCGCTTCCGGCACCTCGTACTCCACGAAGGCAAACCCCTGGGGGAAGAGGGGCCGTGTTACCTTGCAGCCAGCGGAACCCCCCACCGCACCCCCACCAGCTGCCTCAAGCTGAGCCAGCCCTCACCCACCTTGTGCTTCATGGTGACGGAATCCCAGGACATGTCGATGCTCTTGATGGGGCCGAAGGGGGCAAAGGCCTGCCGGATTGTGTCCTCCCCCAACTCGTAGTAAATGGAACCCACGTAGACCCGGCACATGATGGCCAGGGCCCGCTGCCGCTGGGCTGCCATCTGTATCGGAGAGAAGGGCTGGCTGGTCAGCACACGGGGCAGGGGCAGGCGAGGAAAGTCCCCCCACCCTCCCTGGGGGAGCAGCGGAGGGCTCCAGGGTGGCACGTGGAGGCTCTCCGGCAGCCCAGCCCAACCCCCTCGCTCCTGCAAGAGGAAACAGCCCACAGTCTGCACCGCGTCCCGCTGCAGGCACAAGGGCTCCGCCTCCCAGCCCGGGGCAGCAAGAGATCCAGGTCTGGGCACCTCACTTCCACCTTCTCTGGACGGACTTCCCCCACCCGCCCGGAAGAAAGGCCCCTCCAGATGCAGAGCCCTTCCTACGCCCGACCGATGGTGCCGGGGAGGAAGCGCCCGCCACTCCCCAGGCACCACCTCACCACCGCCGGAAACGAACAAGCACTGCCTCGGTAGGAGCCCAAGTCATCGGCCCGGGCTAGACCCAAAGCTGCTCTCTCACAGCAGCACCCCCGCCCCGGCCCCCCGTACGTAGCACCAGCAAAAGCAACCGCTCTTTGAGGGTGCAAAGCCCTGACCTGTCCTTGAGAGGCCACACGGAAATAGCTGGGGAGCCTCGCAGGCCGTGCGGGAGTCGCGTGGGCCCTGGGCACGGGCACTGCTGCACCGGGCAGAGGAACCCAAGCGGGCCTTCCAGACTATCCGGGTGCGGTGGCCCGAAAGAGCCTGGGACAGGCAGCCTTTGCCTGTCCCTTGGAGGCTGCGCTGCTTTGTGGGACTGCACAGCCGGGCCTGCCCCTCCTTGCTGTCTCCCACCCAACGTCCCCCGGGAGAGAACTTCGCGGGCGAGAGGCCTGGCCCCTGCAAGCCCAACCTCCCCGCCCTGGAAGAGGCCTGGTTCTCTGGAGCGGCCCGAGCCAGCCAGCAGGCCTCAGGGGGTGGCTCCCGGTTCCCTCCCGCTGCTGCTGCGCACTAAGACACCCGGGGCTGGGTGACGAGCGTGAGGCCCTACACACTCCCCAGTGTTCAGGAGCCAGCAGAGCCAAGAGTTCAGGAGAGAGGCGGTACGGACTTGTGAGGGAAGCACATGGGGCAAGGGGAGCCAACCCCACCCCCCGACTCCGCGGGGCTGTCTGCTCCTCCCCACTGCAAGCAAGCTAGCAAGCAAGCGAGCAAGGAAGCCGTGCCAAGCAGCCGCCAGAGCCAGCGGGAAAACAGCCGGCTGCCCTAAGACGAGGCACCACAGTGAGTTGTCAGGGGCACACGGCCAACATCAGCTGAGCACTCATGTAATCCGTGCACCTGCCCCTGCAGCTAGCGAAGACCGCCCCCCCGCCCCCCCGAGAGGAAAGCGGCCCGAGCCTGCTGCCTACTTGGGACCGGCCCTGCAGCACGCTTGCTTGCTCACTGGCGCTTTCTCCTGCTGCCACGAGCCGGACTCCTCAACGGCTCCAGGGAGCTCAGTCCGCTTCTACCTGCTGAACCCCACGCAGCAGTGGCTGGCACGCCTCGGCAGCCTCCACGGTGCTGCCGCGAGAGCCGGAGCCGTTCTGGCCCCCTGGACACCACGGCCGCGAGGCTCCAGGGAGGGTCCGGGCCTGCCCGCAGGAGCCCGGGCAGCCCTGCTCTCTGCGCCCGCTCCTCAGGGGAGGATCTGGGCGGCCTCCAGGGTGCCGGGACAACTCTGCTATCTGCCCTACACATGGGCTCCGTGTGCCCCGTCAGCCACTGCTCAGGGCCCTGTGCCCGGGGAGGGGGCGGCTTTGCAGCCACCGCCTTCCTCCAGCTCTCCTGGCCAGAATCCACAGGCCACTTCTGCTAGTCCTCTTCCAGGAGGGGCTCCCACTTGCCACGGGTGCCTGCCACGCCCCAGCACCCAGCTGCCAGGCCTCTGGTGTCCCTTGCTGGCCCACAGGCAAGTTACCTTGGCAGGTACTTTTAGGTCAGGACCTCAGCGTCCCTAGAAAGGCGGCTCTCCCAGCTGCTTGTGCCTAACGCTCGCTCGCTCGCTCTCTCTGCCTCTGCCTCTCTCTCTCTCTGCCCAATGCCTCCTCCACGGGCCCCAGCTGCCCCCAGCCCAAGGTCTTCCACTGGGGAGCTTACACTTGGCCTTGGTTGGCGGGGCATGTCCGGAGCAGGTAGGTATGTGGAGGGAGAGGGAGGGTTCCCCGCTAAGTCCTCCCCCAAGCTAGGCCCTGACTAAGACCAAGTGCCCCAGAAGAAGTGAACGTGTCTATTGACCGATTGTAAAGGTGAGAGAGGATCTCCAAAGCCCATTGTCACTGCTGCCATCTGAAAGACAGTAAAGACAGAGTTCAGTCTGTGGGAGCTGAGCACATGGCGGCTTTTTGTCAACACTCAAGCGGAAGAGGCCTCTCCTTCCTTCCTTCCTTCCGTCCTTCCTTCCTTCCTGTCTTCCTTCCTTCCAACTCTCCTTTCTTCCTTCTTGCCTGCCTGCTGCCTCCTCCTCGCTGCACAGCCCCTGCCAGCCCCAGGGAGCGAGGGGGGAGGGTCAAGACAGCACCGGGGCCTCTCCAACCCTCGGCAGAAGACTAGCGGCCAGGAGCTCCCCACCCCGCCCACAACAGCCAGGGCTGCCCAACAGCCTCGCACCAGCCCTCCCAGCCACCCTAGCCCGGGCCAGGACTCCTGAGTGGGAGGGGCTCCGGTAGCAACTAACACCCCTCCTGTCCTGGGGGCGGACCAGAGCTCGGTGGTAGAGCCCCTGCTTTGCATGCAGAAGGTCCGGCGTTCAAGCCCCGGATCCAGATCGGGGGACTGGGAAGGGCCTTGCCCAAAACCTCGGAGAGCCACTGCTGCCAGAATGCGCCAACAAAATCCAGGCTAGAGGGACTGAAGTCTGGCTCAGCTCGCGGCAGCTTCTGACATTCCTCAAACCATCACGGTTCATGGCTCACCGCTCCTGCCAGGGCAAGGCTAGCGGAGCCGACAGTCCCAGGCGCCCCACGCCGGGCAGGCGGCTGCGGGACTCCCAGGAGGGAGCTCCCTTGGCGCACTCTCACTCCCCCTTCAAGCGGCTGTGCTCCCTCCCCAGACGGGAAGTGCAGGCGAGTCTGGGGCCTGGGGCCTCACCGGGCAGGCTGAGTGCGACACACTTCAATTTCACAGCGGAAACGGAAGCGAAAGTACCTGGCTCCAGGCAGATCTCAGGGCTGTGCAGTGGCTCTAAGTGCATAAAGGGCTCCACCCTTGCGGAGGAGGAGAGTCACGCATGGGCCTCCCTGGAGGGGAAGGCGCTCACCTGAAGGTTGGTGAGCTGCTGCTGCTGGTGGGCGATGGTCTGCTTCACCAAGACACTCTTGATGCTCTGCTCCATCGCATACTTCTTGGCCTGTGCGGGGGTGGGGAGAAGAACACCGAGCGTCACAGAGCCGGCAGGCGCGGGTCAAGTCGAGGCACCCATCCCACGACGCGGGAAATGAGTGCTGGGTGGACCGACCAGAGGGCTGCCCAGACCGATGCTCCGCTCCCACAGCGGACCCCTCAGGCAGGGCCCCGGAGAAACGCAGCTGCTCCTGCTCCCTGCCAGCTGTCTGAGGGAGCCACACTGCCCGTAATCCTGGAAGTGCTCTCTAGCCACCAAGGCCTGTGGGGCTCGGGAACCTCAGGCATCAAGCGCTCCGCAGACAGCTGCCTCCTTCCCCCTGGCCACACAAGCACCATCTGCCCAGCCCAGTCCAGCCAGGTCAGCTTCACCCCTAAGCTTGGCAAGTCTGTGCCCCAGAATCTTGAGTTCTTTCATCTTTGAAACAAGCCCCGGCAGCTGATGGAAGCCGCTTTTCAAAAGGCCTCGAGGCCACCCTGGGAAAGGAGAGCAGGCATCCCCCAACCCACGTATGCTTAGGGTCTAAGACACCCCCCGCCACTGAGGCTTCACCCCGAGGACCCTCCATCACAGACACTGGCAGAGAGCAGGCGAGTGCAGCTGCAGTTTCAGATCCAGACCCGTGTTCAAGCCCCTGAAGGCACTTGCTGGTGGCCCTGCAAAGACCTCCCACCTACAGGCTGGGTTGCTTTCATCGTCCCCCCCCTCGCCACCCCTGCCATCCCTCCTCCCCCTGAAAGGCCGGGCTTCACAGCAGGCGAACCCTGGTCGAGCGACTCACCTTCTGAAGAGCCTCCTGCTGCTCCGGGGTGAGAGGGGGGAGCCCCAGCTTGGCTGCGGTGCTTTGCCCATTCTCTACCTTGACAGTCTCTGTGCCCTGCAATGAGAGAGACATCCAGAAAGGCTGCCTCAGCCGAGCAAAGCCACACGCAAGTACACAATGCTGCATCCGTCGCGGCCCTGAATCAAGTACACTGAAGTGCAGAGGAAGGCCCCCAGCTCCGGAGAACCAAGTCCTGGGCCCAGTGCTCTTCAACACCTTTATCAACGATTTAGATGAGGAAGTACAAGAAACAGTAATCAAATTTTCAGATGATACAAAACTGGGTGGAATAGCAATCACCCCAGAAAGCAGAATGAAGATCCGGGCACCCTTGATAAACTTGAATGCTGGGCTGAAAACAACAGAATGAGATTCAATTGGAGCAAATGACAAGTGCTAAAGCTCGGAAGAAGAAACCAAAGGCATCCATACAAGATGGGGAGCACGAGGCTCAACAGAACTGACAAAGAAAAAGACCTCAGGGTTCCTGTGGACAGCAGGCTAAACAGGAGCCAGCAATGGGATGCAGCCGCCGAAAGGGCAACGGCCATTTTGAGATGCATTAACAGAAGGATTACTTCACAATAACAAGAAGTAGCAGTTCCTCTATACTCCTCACTAGCAGACCTCACCTGGAATACTGTGTCTCATTCTGGGCACCGAGATTAAGAAACGTGCAGGAAAATTAGAAAGGGTCCAGAGGAGGGCAACAAAAATGATCCAGGGTTTGGAAACACTGCCCTGTGAGGAGAGACTGAGGGAACTGGGCATGTTCAGCCTTGAGAAGAGAAGAATGAGGGGCAACATGGTATCCCTTTACAAGTACCTCAAAAGCTGCCACAAGGAAGGTCAAGATCTCTTCTTGCTGATGCCAGAGTGCAGGGCACAGAAGAATCCATTCAGGAGGTGACAACCCAGACTCAGGCTAGGTATCAGGAAATGGTTCCTGACCGTCAGAGCAATACAAAAGTGGAACCAGCTGCCTAGAGAGGTCATGGGCTCTCCATACTGGAGACATTCAAAAAGAGACTGGACAGCCATCTGAGTGGGATGGTAAATGGGTGACCTGCTACAGCAGAGGGTTGGACCTGATGGCCTTCTGGCCCCTTCCAGCTCTACTATTCCATGGGACAGCTTGGAACAGCAAGGGTGGTTCTGTCAGCTGCTGCAGGAGGCCAAGCTGTGTAGTCATATCCTAACCATTTAATCTGTTAAAATTCAGTTTATCCTTACTGAAATACAATATAAAATATAAATAACAGGATAAACAGTATTTCATTGTTTGTTATATGCTGTCCAGAAACTTCAGCTACTGTGTGACACAGAAATAAAATTGACAGCAACTTGCCAGCACCCCAGCTATGGATCTTGGCTCTGATCTCCCACTAAAGCTCAGAGACATTTAGAAAGCTGGTCACTCCCAAGAACCTCGGAAGGCCTGAAACGAGCCCTCACCCACCCTTCCCTTGGCATGGGATGCCCTGCTTGAAGAGCAGTGAGGACAGACCAGAGAGGCCACTTCAAAGCAGTGCAGAGAAGGGGAACCAGCACATCATTACAAACTCCAGCACATTTCTCTGTTGCCCAGTTGTTCAATGTATTTCTAGAGAATGAGTCCAGTGCATCTGAGAAAGCATGTCTATCTTTCTTGGGAGCTTGGAAAGGTGTAAAAATAACAGTCAATGCCATTGCCCCTCCCAGGCAAGTTAAAAGAAAGGGAGAGCAAAAGGGAAATGAGCATCAGATCCGAAGAGGAGCTGCTGGCCATTGCAGGACAATAGCAACAGCACTTCATTCAATTCAGCTTCCTGTTTCTGATGGTTCTGAGCATTAAAAAATCCATGGCGGCCAGCCTCTTTTCCTCCATTCATTTGCTTACAGAGGCCTTTTTTCTGATTATTTGCAAGTCACCACAGGTATCACTGAAACAAGCAAGTGGGCTTCCGGAAGAGAGGCAAAGGGCTCATCTCATCTGCTAACATGCCCCTGGGATTCCAGAATGGGCCAGAAAGAAGCCGCTTTCCCTCCTTGGCATCAGAGCCACGGCACATCCTCGCTTCTCCAACAGCTGCCTGCGCTTTCAGCACCCCAGAAAGAAACCAAAGTCGCCAGCCCGCTGCACTCCCACGCAACAGCCGCAGGAGCTTCTGCGCCGGAGAAACAAGAGGCGGGCGGGCACGGGGGCTCATTGCTACTCTGGAAAACATTTCACCCGCCAGAGAAGCCCCCAAGGAGGGCTTGAGCGCTCTCATCCACCGGCAACCCTCCTACGAGCGGCAGCACTTTCGCGCTGCTGCTTCGAGATGGAACAGGGGCGGGAGGCTGCTTTGCGCGCTAGGCCGATGGAGGACGGGGCCCGTGGGCTGGTCTAGTCTCCCGCACCCTGGCCCCAAAGCCACCCGGCTCGAGGCCATCCCGCAGCCGCCGGCCCAAGTTCGACTAGCGGAACCGATCCCGAAGCACCAGCAAGGCCTTGGGTGGAACACGGGGTTCCGCCCCTCCTGCGCGCGTGGCTGCCCCTACGGCCGGCACAAGGAGCGCGCCCACGGGGGCCGTACGCCCGGGCCACGGGGGTCCCGCTTCCCCCTCCCACGGACAAGCGCGCGGCCGCAAGGAGACTACAGGTCCCGGCGGGCCACAACAGCCGCCGCCGGTGAAGGCGCGAGAGAAAGGGGCGCAGGGCACGCTGGGAAGTGTGGTCCTTGCCGTCCCGACTACCGTCACCCGCCCTCCCGCGCACACAAGGTCCCCGCTCCGGCCCAGCGACGGCGGGAGCCAGGCCCCCAGGCCGCCGGGGGACGAGGAGCCCCTCTCCCGGTCCCGAGTCCGTCTCTTTCCACTCCTCCCGTCCGCCGCGGAGAGAACAGCTCACCAGAGACAGAGCCGTCGTCGCTGCCGCCATCTTCGTCGTCTCCTCCTTCCCCGAGAGCAGCGACCTCGCGAGAACTTGGCGGCCGCGAGAGCCCTCGAGCCAGTTCTCGCGAGGACAGCAGGGCAAATCGTGAGCAGGGGCAAGGAGACCCCGTGCCGCGCGCCTGCGCGCCTTCCGGCTCTGGCCGCCCCTGGGACGGAGGGGGCGCTGCGCTGCGCGGGATTTGCGCGGGGGCCCTGCCGGGACGCCCCCTCGGCGCAGGCCCCTGCGCGGCCCTCCAGTCCGAAGCACGCACCCCGCCCGGCAGAGCGGCAGGCTCCGCGCGGCTGCCCCAGGCCGGCGCCCCGTGCCGGGGCCAGGAGCCCGCCCGCGCGCGCTGAACCCGCTCCTGGGGCCGGCGCGGCTCCTTCGCGGGCCAGGGGGCTTCCGTGCACGTGTGAAAAGGGTTGCCCGTCCTCCTCGGCGCTGGGACTCCGGGAGGGAGGGAAGCGTCTCCTCGTCGACCCCCCCCCCCAGCCCGCAAACACGACCTATAAGTTTGTACACCTCCTACCGTATTCAGGACAGGGAATAAAGAACTGAAAAGGAAATAAAGAACTGCCTTCGACGCATGGTAACCTTATGAATTGCGGGCGATGAAGCAGCTTGGGAGACGGCTAGAGCGTAGGTGGAGGAAATCACGGGATGAATCTGACCGAACACACTTGAGACCCCACTATCAGGCCTATGCTGTGGCGATGAGGGCGGCGAAAGAGATTTTTTCCGCTTCCATTGCCTCTTCACAATGCCGTCCGGCGGAGCTTTTTCGAGTGGTGCAAGGCCTGGTTCGTTCAGGTCCTAAGGAAGACCTGGTTCCACCCTCAAAGGCCCGCTGTGATGACTTTGCCAGGCATTTCAGGGAGAAAATCGCTCAGATTCGTCACGAGCTGGACACCACTAGTGAATCAGGTTTTTGGGGAGACACCAATGCTGCCGTCTGGTCCAGAATTATTGGATGAATTTCAGTTACTGCGGCCCGATGATGTGGACAAGGTGCTTGGACGAGTACGTCCCACCACTTGCCTATTGGACCCTTGCCCGTCTTGGTTAATAAATAATTCCAAGCACGGGATTGGGATCTGGATCTTGGAAGTGGTTAACTCTTCTCTGAGGGAGGGTCGGGTGCCTGCCCCTTTAAAGGAGGCGGTAGTCCGACCGGTCCTGAAGAAAGCGTCACTGGATCCAGAGATGGCCACTAACTATAGACCTGTGGCCAACCTCCCGTTTCTGGGCAAGGTGCTAGAGCGGGTTGTGGCGGGACAACTCCAAGCACTCTTGGATGAAACTGATTATCTGGACCCATTTCAGTCCGGCTTCAGACCCGGGTACGGTACTGAATCTGCCTTGGTCACCCTGTACGATGACCTGTGCAGGGAGAAGGACGGGGGGAGTGTGTCCCTGTTGGTTCTCCTGGACCTCTCAGCGGCTTTCAATACCATCGACCATGGTATCCTTCTGGATAGGCTAGCGGGATTGGGGGTCGGAGGCACTGCTTTGCAGTGGTTCCGCTCCTATCTCAATGGCCAGTTCCAGAAGGTGGTGCTGGGGGACTATGGCTCTGCACCATGGCAGCTATGCCATGGAGTACCGCAGGGGTCCATTTTGTCCCCTTTGCTGTTCAACATCTACATGAAACCGCTGGGAGAGGTTATCAGGAGGTGTGGGCTGCGGAATCATCAGTACGCTGATGATACCCAGCTCTGCCTCTCTTTTTCAACTGATCCAGGTGAGGCAGTGGCTGTACTGAACTGGTGCCTGGCCAAGGTAATGGGCTGGATGAGGGCCAATAAACTGAAGCTCAATCCAGACAAGACGGAGGTCCTGTTGGTTGGCGGATCGGGCTTCGGAGAGGGTGAATTGAACCTAGTCCTGAATGGGGTTGCACTCCCTCTTAGGGACAAGGTCCGCAGCCTGGGAGTGCTCCTTGACCCGGAGCTTTCATTGGAAGCTCAGGTGACAGCAGTGGCGAGGAGTGCTTTCCTTCAGCTTTGGCTGATCCATCAGCTGCACCCCTATCTGGAGTACGACTGTCTAGCGACAGTGACACACGCGTTAGTGACTTCCCACCTTGACTTCTGCAACGCACTCTACGTGGGGCTACCCTTGAAGACAGTCCGGATACTTCAATTGGTTCAAAATAGAGCTGCCAGGCTGCTGACGGGGACTGGGCGTTATGTTCACATGACTCCAGTTCTCCGTCAGCTTCACTGGCTTCCCATTGAAGTCCGGGCCCAATTCAAGGTGTTGGTGATGACCTATAAAGCCCTGAACGGCTTGGGTCCTGGCTACCTAAAGGAGTGCTTACGTCCATATATGCCCGGCCGCCCCTTGAGATCGGTGGCAGAGGCCCTTCTCCGGGAACTGTCCGTGGAAGAAATCAGGAGGGTGGGGACTCGGAGGAGGGCTTTCTCTGCGGTGGCGCCTAATCTATGGAATGCGCTCCCCAGAGAGGTCCATCTGGCGCCGTCATTTGTTTTTCGGCGCCAGGCGAAGACCTTTTTATTTAATTGTTAATTGTTAAATAAATTGTTAATTTATTTGTTAATATTATTGGATTTTATCTGGCCAGGGCGACTTATTTTATATTGTTATTTTTGTGTTTTAACTTTATGTCTACATTTTACAAACATTTTAATTTAAAGTTATAATTTAATGTTTGTATTTTAATTTAATGTATTTGTATTTTAACTTATTGTTGTAAGCCGCCCCGAGGCTTCGGCGAATGGGGCGGCATAAAAATGTCTTAATAAATAAATAAATAAATAAATAAATAAAATGAATTAAAGCTCTCCAAATGTTCAGCCTCGCTCAGCACTTGTGAGCTCAAGGCTGTGGCATCCCTTCTTGAGCCACATAGAAACATAGATGCAGAACCAGTCAGAAGGGTCCTCCTGAGCCATGTAGTCTGACCCCTGGCTCCGCTCATGACATGCATGTCCTTGCACACCCCCACCGATGGGGCCTCAACCACCTCCCATGGAAGCCCGTTCCATACCTAAGGGGCTTTGCTCCATTGGAGCGTGTCCTGCCTTCCTCCCCAGGGAAAAACAGGTCTCTACCCACCTCCACGTGACACCCCCTCTCATACCTGTATGTTGCTAACAGTTCTGAGTCTCCTCTCCAGGCTGAAAGACCCAGCTCCCTCAGTCTCTCCCATGGCTTCCCCTGCAAAACCAACTGATTCCAACCTTGCTATACCCTTCTTTAATGAGGGCCCAAAATTGAACACACTACTCCAGCTGTGGGTGCACCGTATAGTGGCAACAGCAGCTCTCTCCATCTAGAAGTGCTGCCCCCCAGCCACTTGCCCCCTAACCTGTCCTTATGGCACCCATTCCTATGCCCCAAGTGCAAGCAGTGGAACATCCTTGACTCATGAGCTGGTCGCCTCGGAGATGGTCTGGAGGCTTTGCGAGGTGGGCCAAGCACCCAGGAGCGCATAGGACACCCATGTTCCACTGCCGCATGGCTTGCCTGCTTGCTTGCGCACCCAGTTCAAGGTGCCGGTGGTCCCGTTAAAGGCTCACATGATTTGGCCCCAACTGCATCTACCTACCCAAACATTCCTGGCACTTCTGAGGCTGCCCTTGCAGACCACCGGGGAGCTTCTGAGTCGTGCCCCCTATACTTGGACTTCTCTCCATGGCCATTTTCAAGGGGGATTTTAATGGGTGTGCGTGGATTTGTGGCTCAGCTTGCTTTCAGCGGGTGGCTAAGGCAGGTGCTGGGTGACACCCTGCACATCCCACCCCCCAGATGGGGGTTGCTGTGGTACCCAAACCAAGCTGCTGTACCTGTGTGAGCACAAGCCAACGCAAGCCAGTCCGGTGTGCTTCCAGTGTTTAATCACAGCGTGGCAGCACAGCTCAACTTTTTACAATTGTAGTGCACTTTTCTATAAAAGCAGCAAATTTGCAACAAACATGGCCAAGTATGTGCAGAACATTTCCAGATGCAGGCCAGAGGTACACACATACAAAGCTGATTGCAGATCTGAATATGGGTGCGTGTGAATAAGCCGTAATACTGTTTGAAGCAAGATTGTATGAACATAGTCCATAACGTCATGGAGAAATAGGACAGCTCCCAACAAATGCAATTTCTGGAAATGCTGGACAGAGGTGGTTTGTGGAAGCACCAACTTTCCATATGCCTTATTTTTGCTGTGTAAAGTCAAGCAGAAATGTCTGAATGTTAAAAGACGCATTTCATTTTGCTACGACCTCTGCTCTTCAGTGCAGTTTCCGATCATCAGGACAACTTCTGGAGGAGTCCCAGTCAAGGCTTGCCTCACAGCCCATCCTGATCCACCCGTGTTGGAGGGCAGGCTCTGGGGGGAGTCTGGACCAGCCTGATGGGCTGCCGTGTGCGCCGGCTGCAGAGCGGCCTCCCCTTCCCTTCCCCGTGGCTTTGGATCGCTCCGCAGAGGCTCCTGGGGCCACAGAGCAGCGGGATGCAGCGACTTTATCACCCGAGACACGAGGCCCAGGCCCAACTTGGCAGAACCACAGCGTGGGGCAGCAGAGGGGCGAGCAGTGCATCCCGCAGGCACCAACCAAGCGAGGCGGGCGCTTGCTCCCTGGAACCCGGGGCCGGCCGCTGCACAGCAAGCGACCCAGTAAATGCCTTGCGGCGCTCACGATGCAGGCTGGGAATCCTGGTTTTTTCCAAACAGGGAGACCAGAAGGGGTACGGGCCACACCCGACGAGGGAGCATCTGCTTCTCTGCTCCGGGCACCCGGACCAGCCTTCTTCTGGCAGCATCTTCAGCATTCGGCAGCTGGGAGCCTCGCCGGTTCCTGGGCACGCCGCCGTGCAGGTCATGAGGGGGAAGCCACAGGCTCGCTGTGTGCCCAGGGGTCAAACAGGGTGCCAGGTCTCGGCCCACAAGTGGCAGGATCCTGGCGCTTTTTGGAAAAGCCAGGCACTGTTCTGAACAGTTGGCCTGGTCTGAGGTGCAAAAGGGGACTTTCTTCGCCTCCACTTGGCTGACCTGCCCCAACGGGACGGCGCTCAAAGGGGACTGGCCAGACTCACGCAGAGGAGGTTCCCTGTAGCCACCGGCCCTGCTGGCCACGTGCCCCCGGCACCAGAGGCGGCATGCCTGCGTACACCAGTTGCTGGAGCACTGGGGCAGGTAGGACCCAGGCCCCGTCCTGCCCGAGGGCCCTGCCAGCAGCCAGCCGGCCACGTGTGAAGAGGGGGCTGGGCGGACCACTGCTCTGGCCCAGGGGGCCGTTTCATGTTCTGGGCTGTCCCCCTGCAGGAAAATTAATGCTGGACAGAGCCAGCGAGCTGTTGCTCGTTTCCATCTCATTTCCTGTACTGAAAAGATGGATCTGCGGCTAGAAACGTTCCCTTTAAAAAGCCATCCTTTTCACGTGGCAGCAAATGCTTCGTGCAGGATTCCCTCTGCAGCGTCTGCCCCCGGAGGCTGCTCTGCCAGTCCGTCTGCTCCGGCAGGCAGCAGTTCTTCCAACCCTCCAGCAGAGAAGCTTCCGCCAGCCCTGCCATCCAGGGCCTTTGTGACGGGATGCCAGAGGCCGATCAGCGGCAGAACGGGCCGCCCAGGTCCCCAGCGGGGGATGCATGGAGAATGGGCCTCTGCAGAGATGCCCTGCTACAGCACCCGCAGGGACCTTCTGCGTGGCCAGCAGGCATTTGCCGGAAGGAACGTCATCCTTCCTCCTCTCGCCACTGCTAGGATGCCACGCTCCGTGTCCTGACCGAAGTGCCATGTTCCGGCTGGATGAGCTGCACCGGGGGACCGCTCTGGTCTGCGTGCAGGCGGCAACTCGGGAACATGCATCTCACAATGGCTGCCAAGGGTCTGGACCCAAGGCGGCAGCAGAAGCTTGCCTGGGTTCCCCACGAGAGGCAGGCTCCACAGCTGATGACAAGTGTTCCAGGAAAACGGGGGCGGGTCAAGGGAGGGCAGCCCCCATGCGCAGTCGCTGGTGCCGGTGCAGCAGCCTTCCCAGCAGAAACCTGGCTGGGCTTCATGGGCAAGCGGTGGGGGAAGCGCTCGGTGTGACGAGCAGGTGGAGGCCAGCATCACACCCAGCTGCACGGGCAGGAACGCCCAGCCACAGGGCCGCCTCCTGCCTTAAGCCCAGCGGCCTACCAGCCCTGCTCCTCCTCCGGCCCCTCAGCAGGCAGCAAGTCCGGGGGGCCGAGGCCCAGCGGCACCAGCCCAGAGCATCCTGGGGCGCCCTTGGGTGGCTCTTGCTGGCTCTGCAGGAGAGTTGCTGTCGCGAAAGCAGGAACCGCCAGCCAGCAGCCAGCCAAGCAGAGCTGGTCTCAGGGAGCAAAGGCTGGGCCCCAGCCTGCCTCGTCCCCCCACAAGCAGCCCCTCTTCATGGGGATAAGGCTGAAAATGGGAGGTCTGGATTCCACCCTATAATGGGGGGGGGCACGACCAGCCCCTTGGGCAGATCAAAAACATGGATGGACTGGTAAGATCGAAAGATTTCGCCACCTGGATGGCTGTGACACATGTCTCCTGTCTAGACTTGAAGCCACCCACCCCCATGATCTCAGAAAGTGGCTCCCGCTCCAGCCAGCATGAGCTCCAGGAGGGGAATCAGTCGAGAAAATGCGGCACGAATGGCCTTCCGATCCCACAGCTCAGCTGGCAGCAGGCCCAAGCAGGCCCTCCCCCCTCGGTGTCCCCAGCCGGGGCGCCTCCTGCCGCCCTGCGCTGGCCCTGGCAGGGCTGCCTCTGCAGCCCTGGGAACGGGGGCAGAGACAGAGCAGGCCGCGGGCCCCCGGGGCTCACCGGATTTTAATGCACTGATCGGAGTTTTCTTCGGGGATGTTGGGCAGGTCAGGCAGGACCACGTGCGTTGGGGCAGGCACAGCCAGTTCGCAGGGGGCAAGCAGCGCACGCGGTGGCGGGCCGCGCCGGGCAGCTGCAGCCCCAGGAGAGCCAGCGGAGGCCCGAGCAACGCTCCCAAAAGGCGGAGGCAAGGCCTGCGCTCTGCTCCTCCCAGTGCGGCCACTGACAGCTCAGCTGCCTCCGCAGCTCCCCCACTGCCAGTGGGGGCAAGAGGCCGGGGAGCGCAGGAACCGCGAAGGAAGAGCAGGAAGTGGGGCGGGCAGGGGCCAGACCCTTCCCCGTGCCAGCCTGTCTGCAGGTCCGTCTTCCCAAGAGGGCCGCACAGCAGGGGAGGGCCAGCGCCAGGGGGCAGCCGGGTGCCGAGGTCCCGGCTCCGGCCAGCCCCCGTCCTCAGCCGCGCACTCGCTGCCTGCTCCAGGTGCTCCTCCGGCCGGCCTTATGCTCCCGCCTCTTCTTCGGCCTCTGGGCTGGCGCAGGCGGAGGTGCTCGGTCGGAGCCTCCAGCAGGTCCACGGCACGACTCTTCCTCTCGGGACACGGCCGCTGGCTGCAGAGCCCGGCGCGGGGCGGGGTGCTCAGGACGGGGGCGCCTGGTGCTTGTGGAAGGCCGAGTCCAGGAACCCAGCCAGCTTCTCACAGTCATCCTGGAGGGGGGCAGCAGAAGGATGCAGGGGCTAGGCGGGGCGGAGCTGCTGCCGCCTGCCTGGGGGCCACACGGCCCCTCCGGCCCCACGGCCGGCCCCCGCTGCCGCCCAGCCAGCTCTTTAAGGGCTGCTGCTCTGGGTCTCCCACCCTCCACGTGCTTCCCCACCTCCCTTCCTGGGCCCGGCACAGCCCCTTCCTGGCCAGGCTTCTTCCCGAGGGCTGCAGGGGCCCTTCTAGCCGCTGGGGTCCTCCAGAGCCCCCCCGCGCCCCGGGCTCAAGAACGGGGGCTTGGGCTGTGCTGGTCAGCAGCTCTGAAGCACACCCCTGGAGCCCCTCCCTGCCGCTGCGCGTGGCCTCCCGCCCGGAGCAACCGCAGGAGCTGCCCCCGCCCCCGGCACAGGCCCCTTCTCCCCGTCGCCCCACGCAGCCCATACCCAGGGACTGGTGGGGGCACTCACCTGGCTGATGAATCCGTAGTGCACGAGGTCGGCAGCCAGGGCCCGTGGGTGGTCAGCTGCAGGGGGAGGCAGGAAGAGGCCGACACCCGCCTGAGCGGAATGGGTCCGGGCAGCTCTTGCTCCCCACCCCACGGGGCATTTCTAAGAGAGGTCGCAAAAGAGCCTCGGGGCTTTCTGCCCCCCCACCCCCACCCAGAGCAGTCAGAAGGATGCCTGGAGCTCAGCAATAGCGAGTGGACGGGGGGGGGGGCGGCAGCAGCAGGAGCTCTGGCTGCCCAGGCCAGTGAGCCACGCTGCATCCCACCCGCCGGCCCGCTCCCGCCTCCCTCGGGGTGGGGCAGTTGGGGGCGTCCACCCTGGAAGGCAGAGCCAGACTCACTCACTCGGCAGCAGGTCGTAGCTCAGCTGGCGGTGGAGCTTGTCTTCCAGGACCAGGAGAAGCGTGAGCTGCAACACGCACGGGAGGGGGTCAGAGTCACTGGCTGCAGCGGCACGGCCTGCACGCGCCACCCACGGCCAGCCCTTCCCAAATCTCGCCACACACGCCCCGCTCCGGGAATGCTGTGCACTTAAAGCAGGCAAAGGCGCTCGCGGGCAGTGACGGGGCCCCAGCAGCCTCGGGTGCTGTGGGCGGTGGCGTCCGCTTCCCCGGCTGTCCTTGGGGACCACAGCAGCACCACGGAGGGCGGCCCAAGGCCCCCGGCCGGTGTTCTGCCCCACGGTGACCCAGCGGGTGCCTGTGTGCTCCGCCCCACCTGCGCTCGGAGGTCTGACCTCAGCAGCATCCCTGCGGGCGTGTGGCGCAGGCGGGTGAAGCCCCCCGGCAGAAAGGGATCAGGGGGCGTCTCAGAGCTGGGTCCACCTAGCTGAGCCCTGGCAGAAGTCAGCGGATCTGCAGTGGATCTTCCGGCAGGCTCCAGGCCTTTCCTGGGGAAACCCATCTTGAACCCAAAGCCCAGCGGGGCGAGGGAAGGAAAAGCAACACCAAGCTGCAGCTGGCCGCCAGAGAAGGCGTGGAAAACGGAACGGGCCAGGGGGCCCCCTCGGACGGCCCGCTGGAGCGAGCGCACGCACTTGGGGTGCCGTGAACGGTTCTGGTCCCCGCACCTGGGAAAGGGCACAGCCGAGTGGGGGGACAGCGGCGAAGGGCAACTCGGGACACGCGGGTCGGAATGGTCGCGGCCCCTGGAATTGTGTCGCTCAGGGGGAGGCGCTTAAGGGCATTCGGGATTACGCCTGGGGTGGGCAAGGGGGAGTCCTTCTCCCCTTCTGGAAGCATCCCTGCAGCGGCCTGATGGGGCGTCCAGAGCGCTCGGAGGGAGCCGCTGCCGCCTTCTTCGCGCAGCCCAGAGCCGGACCGCAGCATCCGCTCCTGCGGGACGTGGCCGGCTGCCCGTTGGGAGGGCCCTGAGAGCAGAGCGGGCAGGCCCGCCGAGGGGGAGGAGGTGGCCAGCTGGGAGGGCTCGCTGGCCCGGGGGGCCGCCAGCCTCGGAAGCGGGGTGCCTAGGCGCGCCAGGCGCTGCAGGGACTGGGGCAGCTCGAACAGAAGGCTGCTGGAGGAGCCCCGCCTGGTCCCGCACGGCTCTTCTTGAGCTCCAGGGATGACCACAGGGCGTCTGTGGTGAGCGGCCCCAGCACCAAGCTGAGGCCTGGCTCCGCACCGCTCTGCCGCGGCCTGGTCCCTGCGCAGCCCCGCGGCCTCCCCTGCCCACCGCCCACCCGGGCCCTGCGAAGCCGCCAGGCACTCTGGGGGGGGGGGGGGCTGCGCGAACGTACGTGCCGCTGCCTCTTCTCCTCGTTCCACTCCATGCTGCACTGCATCTGCACCACCTGCGGGACGGCGGAAGGGCGGGTCGGCGCACGTGCCCTGGGGGCCTCCGCCCGTCAGCCCCCCCGCCCTGCCTGGGCAGCCCGCCGCCCCCCGGGGCAACCCACCCCACGCCTGAAGCAGCGTGCCGAAGCCACGGATCCGCCGGACGCACAGCCACGGGCGCCCCGTGATGGAGCACCGCCAGCCCCCTCGCAAGCAGGCGAGGGCCGGGCAGCCCCTGCCCACCCCTGGCAGCGCACAGGGGCCTGCGCCCGCTCCGGGCCCCACTCTGAGCCCCCCGGCAGTGGGCCCACCTGCTTCACCCCGGCTCCAGGCCACCCCCAGCCACACGTGCCGAGCAGCGCCGATGGGGCAAGAGGAGCCAGTCCAGGTGCGGACGCCCACTGCACCCTTCCGCACCCCGCTCGCTCCCCAGGGCCATGAGGAGTGCCTGGGCTGGGCTTGCAGGGGCGGCCGAGAGGCGGGCAGCTGTGCCTGGCCAGCAGGGGGCAGCCCCCTCCTCACTCTCCTCCCCACACCGGGACGGCGCCTGGCTCGCCCGTGACGGCAGGCTGAGGCAAGGGCGGCCAGAGGAGGGCAGGCCAGGTGCGAGTGGCCCTGGCCCCACGGGACCCTGGGCGGCAGGGAGGGGAGGGGCACGGCTCTGGGGGGCGACGGGGGCTTCCCTCTCCCCCCTCGCCCCGCAGGCAGAGGCTACCTTCCTGGTCTCCACGTCGAAGGGCTCCGGCGTGGGGGTCTTGGCTTTCTGGGAGTCCTCCGGGGGCTGCGAGGCCGAGCGCGGCAGCGTGTGAGGCCGGGCGGAGGCGAAGTTCATCAGCGGGTAGATGCCGTTCCTGGCAGAGAAAGCCAGCCGGGCACACGTCAGGGCCGGGGATGGGGGTCCGCCTGCCCCAGTGAGGGGCAGAGGGGTGGGCAGGGGCCGGCACACACACCACCTCCGCACGGCCCCTGCTCCGTGCCCCCTCGCAGGCCTTTTCGGGGCCCTGCGGATTGGCTGCCGCAGCTTCTCACTTTCCACAGGTTTTGAGGCCCAGCTCGTTCTATCGGCCCTTCTGAGCACATTCAGGCCTCGGAAGCCTCAGCAGCACCTTCGTTTTGCTAACCCTAACCCTACCCTGGATTTCCCCCAGAACCCAAAACCTGGTGTAATTCCCCATGCGTCACTCGGATTTCTAAAATCCTCACTCTGCACATTTCTAGGCCCGGCTCGTTCTACCTGCCCCTTCCAAGCACCTTCCAGGCCTCTGAAGCCCCCGAAGAGCCTTCGCTTTGGCAGCCCACGTTCCAAGGGGGCCTGGGGGGGCCCAATGCCGGGTGAGCAAGGAGCCACGACTGCTGCCCCCCTGCTGCTCGCTTACCTCACATCCTCCAGAAACTTGTCCAGCTCCAGGAAAGAGACCTCTGAGTATCTAAGAAAACGCGGGACGAGAGCAAGTTGGCTGGGAGGCGAGGGGCGGCCCTCCTGCCCGGTGCGGAAGCGGCAGGGTCGGTCTGGGCCTGGCCTTGGGGTGCCTCCTCCCCGGGCAGTGGCGGCTGTGCGCCCCTGCTGGGGCCGCGGCTCCCCCCACGGCTCGGCCCGGCCCGGCCCCACGCACCGCAGCCCAGGCCGCTCACCTCCACTGCACGGGGGGGCGGCCCACATGCTGGATCTCAGCCATGACGATGCTGAGGTCCAGCGCCTTGGTCTTCTCTTCCACGACGTTCTCGGGCCACAGATCTGTGGGGAGAGTCGGGCTGAAGCATTCGCTGGAGCACCCCCCCCAGCGCCCCCCAGCGCCCCTGCACTCACACTGGTTGCTGATGAAGCAGTGGGCGGCCAGCAGCTTCAGGGAGTGGACCTCAAAGAGGACGCGATGGAAGAGCAGGTTGTGGGCCGTGGGCCGCCTGTCGGGGTTCGGGAGGAGGCAGCCCAGGATGAATTCCTGCGGAGACACCGGAGGGGCGTTGCGAGGGGCTGCCGCGCAAGGACGGCTCTGCTCTCTCCCAAAGTAACGGCTCCCCGGGGGGGAGCCTGGTGGAGGGCAAGCACGGCACGCAGCCCGGGCAGCAGAGCGCTCCCCAAAACACTTCGCGTGTGAGGGAGAAGGCCCCGCCTGCCCTGGGCTCCCCCATGTGCCCAGGCCCCTCCTGCCTGCACCCGGCCGAGGCAGCGGGGACCCTGGCCGTGCTGGCCTCGGCAGGCTGCCCTCAGCTCTAGGGCCAGAAGGGGGCCGCCAGGACGGGGGCCTCCTCAGCAGAGGCACCCCCGAGAGGCGTCTCCTGCACACTGGTGCTGACCGGGCCAAGTGCCTGGTGCAGACGGTGCGATTCTCTGCAGCCGCCGGCCATGTCGCAGGGAGCCAGTGGGTGGTCGTGAGCCCCTTGGCAACGGAGGCCGAGGCCTCACTCCGAACAGGCGGAAGGCCGCAGCGTGTTTGCCAGGGAGAGATCCTGCCCCGCGGCAGGAGGCCGGCTTTGCGGCTGGCGTTCCCGGCCTCCGCGGCCGCGTGATCTGGGGCGGCCGAGCGGGAGAGACGCCGTTCGCTGGCCGGCGGAGGGGCTTGTCCTTGTTCGGCCCCCTGCTGGCAGGACAGCTGTCGCCGGCGGCGTCTTCCCATTTCTGGCAACACAATGCTCAACACAATGTCGCCTGCTCTGCTCATGCCGTTCTGCAGCAGAAATGCTCTGGCTGCCACATCCCTTGAGCACGGCCGAGCAGCACGGTTTTGAGATATTCTCTGTCGGAAACTCGGGAGAGTTTCCGATGGACGGAGCGGCTTGCCCGGAGGGCCTGGGCGCCCTGTGGGCAGGGTCCCGTTTCCAAGGGTGAAAGCAGCAAGAAGGGGCAGATAGAACGAGCCTCCTCCAGTGCCCCCCCCCCAGCCACCCTCTGAATGCCAAGAGGGCCGGATCAGCACGAGGTGCTCGCTGCTGCTCGGGAGAGAGCGAGACAGTATCCCTGCTGGTACCGTTCTGGGAGCCTGTATCTTGAGCAAACGTATTCCCGTGTGTGCTGCAAAACTACCCACGTGGAGCGGCGGCGGTGGTCTGCAGCGTGCAGAGATGGGCAGGGGTCGCAGAAGCCCCCCCCCGCCCACAGCAGCCACCTGCAGCCGTCCTCGGCTAAGTGAAGCTGCCAGAGGCAAACGGCGCTGTGGGCAGCTGAAGCAATGACCGGGGAGGGCGATGGCTCGGGCCCCTGGAGAGCCCCCCGCAGCGGCCCCCACGCCCTCTCACCCGCATGATAGGGTCGTCCAGAGAGTGCCGGGCCCGCTCGATCGCCTCCTCTGTCACGCAGGCGTCTCCGTTGGACTGGATCTCCAGCACCGCCATCTGTGGGGAAGCGGGACAGGCTCGGGCAGGCGGCAGGGCCCGGCAGGAGCCCGTTGGCCAGCGGGTGGCCAGGCCGGCGCGGAGCCTCCCTCCACGAGCACGGCGGGCACAGAGGGGCCCGGCCCGGCTCGCCACCGCCACCGTGGCTGCCCTACCTCCAGAGCACACATCCCGAAGGAGAAGATGTCCACTGCCGTCCCGTCTGCCACACCTGCAAGGCCAAGCAAGAGGCTCACCAGAGCTCTGTGCCCACCGGCGCCCCGGCCGGCCCACCGGGGGGGCTCTACTTACGCCCATACTCCGGGGGAAAGAAGTGCAGGTTCCGCTGCTCCTCTCGTCCAGCACAGAGCGGGCTGCGGAGCTCCGGCGGGAGCGCTGCGGCAGGCAAGACGAGGGTGGGGGTCAGAGGAGCCCCCCTTGGAGAGGAAGAGGCCGTGGGGGCTCCGCTGCCTCCAGGAATGACCTGGGACCAAACCGCTACCCAAGGGGTACAGATCCCCATGCCAAACCCCCAGGAGCCCCCGGGGACCCCCCCTGCCCAGGCAGGGGCCCCAAGGGGGAGGAAGGCCGCCTGCTCTCGTACCTGCTTCTCCTTCTGTCTCAGCCTCGGCTTGTTTGGAATCCCTCCGCAGAGGCTGGGGAAGGGTTAGCCGAGCCGGCAAAAAGCCCTTACCTTTTGCAGAGACTCTGTGCCAAACTGCAGGCAGGGATGGGGGAGGGGGAGAGAGAGAGGTGTGGGTTTCAATGATGCATACAGGGAAAGCCGATCCTCTCCCAGAAGCAGCTCTCGCGGTGCGGGGGGCGGGGGGAGGCCCACTGGGTGGCGTGCAGGCAACGCGGTGGCCTGCAGGACGGGGCCCTGGCCCCTCGTGGCCGGCAGGGAGGCCAGACCGGGCCAGGAAGCCCATTTGGGCCCACCTGGGAAGCCCCCAAGGAGGCCGCTGGGGGCAGGCGCTGCATGACGCCTGCCAGCTGGGGCAGTGCTGTGCGCACGGGCATGAGGCGCTCAGCGCCGTTCGCTCAGGGATGGGGATGCCGCAGAGGGCGAGGCGGAGGCTGGCCAGGCGGCCCGTCCTCAGGACGAGCCGCGCAGTCCCGAGGCCAGGCGGGGCCGCACAGGAGGAGACGGGCGGGGGGCCAGAGCTCCCGTGGGGGGCCGCTGAGCTGCCGCCTCCAGGGTGGGGCGCAGAGGCAGAGTCAACCTCGGGGCAACCCGAGTGGGGCAGGCGCCGCAACGGCCGGCTCCGTCCCCGAGGAGCCCCAATCCTCACCCCACTCGGGCAGGCTGAAGGGGCGCAGGCGGGCGCGCTCGGCAGCGCCCTCCTCCTGGGCTGGCCCACGGCAGACTCCACGAGGGAAGCGTGGCCGACGGATGTGGTGGGCGCAGCTCTGCTCATGGCTCGCGCACCAACAAACAGAATAAACGACGCGAGCTGCTGTGCCCACTGTTGCCGCAGCGAGAGGAGGGGCTCACGACAGTTGGTGGGGAAGTGGGGCGGGGCGCAAGGGGTGCCCCCTCCAGGGAAGAGGTTCCTCCAGGTTCCTGCCCGACACGGGGGTCCGCTCTGACGGGCCGCAGGGAGAGAGCCTCGGGCCCTCCTTGCAGCGTCACACGGGTGGCCGTGGGGCCCGGGCATGGGGGACTCCCCCGTCCTGCCTCCGGCTCCGTACCTGACCCAATCTTGATGAGTCCGTTGTGTTGGATGAAGATGGTGTCACTGGTGAGGTTGCCATGGATGATGGGGGGGTCACAGGAGTGCAGGTAACTGCCAAAGGAAGGGCCTGTCTAGAGGAGTCCCCGGCTGCGGCCCCTCGAAGGGGGGCAGGAGCCAGCCTGGCCCGAACAGCCATGGGGGGCAGGGGAGCTGACAACGCACCTGAGGGCTGAGAGGATCTGGGTGCACCAGCGCTTCCAGGCCTGGGGGCAGAGAGCAGCGTCAGCGGGAGGCCGCCCAGCCCGGCCCCACGTGTGCCGGGGCACCCCCCCACTGGGAGGGAGGGAGGGAGGGAGGGAGGGAGGGAGGGGGCTCTGGGCAGTCCCTGCGAGGCGCCTGCCGGGCTGATCTGGCCCGGGCCCCGCAAGCCCATGCGGGCCACCCAAGCCTCACGCCCAGCGCACAGCCGGCCAGCGGTGAGCCGGGCAGCGCTGGCACTCCATCCCGGCCGAAGAGGCCACACGCTGCGCGGCTGCACCGTCCCGCCAGCACCTCGTGTGCCGCTCTGCGAAGCCTGGCCCGGGGGAGGTGCTGCCGTGGCCGGAAGCCGGCAAGCGCTCCCCTGCTGGCAGCTTGCCCCACGGAGCCCCCGCTGCGCCCCAGCGAGGCTCCCAGCCTCTCCGCCCGCAGGCCTCCCCCCGTCCAGCCAAGGGGTGTCGCAGGCGGCCTGCCCATGCTCCCCCCAAAGGAGGGCCGCCCCGGGGACCAAGCCGCCTGCCTGGGCTGGGGCCCTGCGTGCCTGTGTGGGTGGGTGCGTGGGCCCCCCTTCCACGCCCGCCCACCTCCGTGCCTACCCGGGCGTTCATGGCCTTGTGGTTCTTCTTGGTCTTCTTCAGGAACTGCTTCAGGCTACCCGACGAGACATACTCCGTGATGAAGATCACCTGCGGGGGGGGGGCGGTCAGAGAAGGGGCCTCCGTGGCCCCAGGACCCTCCTCTGGCCAGCCGGCGCCACCTTTCCTCCAGGTAGGGAGGAGCACAGTCCCGTGGGCGCGTGATTGCGCCCCATCCGCCTCTGGCTCCCCTAAGAAGGCTGTCCCGTGCGAGGTCCAGAGGCCGGTGCTGGACGGGGAGCCAGGCCTTTGGGGCCCCCAAGAGCACCTGGCCTGCCATTGCCACGGGAGAGCGTTGCCCCGGTGGCACTGCTGCCGGAGGCCCACAGGCCAGTGGCCGCGGCGGCCCAGCTCCTGAGGCACTTGTGGGGCAGCTCGGCCGGGGCCCCGGGTGGCGCCCCTCACCTGGGCCTTGGATTCCGTCACGTCCAGCCAGTACTTGTGCACCTTCACGATGTTGGGGTGGTCGACGACGACCAGCTGCTCGAACACAGTCTTGATCTTCTCCTGCGGGCGCAGGACAGGCCTGCACATCAGGGAGGCTCAGGCCACGGCCACGCAGGGGGCCGCCGGCTGCAGGAGCCGCGGGGGGCAAGGGCGGGGCCCTCGGCCTGGCCGGCTGCAGCGGGCCAGCCGGCACTGTGGCCACTCGGCGGGGGGCTTCGGGGCGGCCGCACCACCCGGACCCCGGGAGCAAGCCGGCGCGGGGGCCTCACCTCGTGCGCCACGAAAGCCTTCTTGTCGGTGAACTGCAGCTCGTTCCATACCACCTCCACGCCCTCCTCCGTGTCCATGGCCAGGAACGTGCTCTGCAGACCCGGCCTGTTGCCCTGGTTCACCTGGGGGAGGCCACGGGCCGAGCAGGTTAAGCCAAGGGGCTGGCGCCCTCCGTGCCTGCCGTGCGGGGCCAGAGAGCCCTTCCGGGGGGCTCGTGCAGGCCCCACGCCCCCCGGCCGGGGGCCACCCCCCCCCAATGGAGGCAGCAGCTGCGGCAGGCAGGGAGCGGCTCCGGAGGACCTGCTGACCGAGGCCGGCCTTTCCTGACCGGGAGAACGGGCGCTGCTGCCGGGCCTGGCCCGGGCCCTCCTCCCTCCCACTGCAGCGTGGGGCCCGAGTGTGGGGAGGATGGCCGGCCGGCGGGAGCCTCTGGCCCTTCCCCGCGGGAGACACAGCGGTCCATTGTCCCTCCGCGCCGTGCAGCATGCCCAGGCGGAACAGGTCGGCCAGCTGGCAAAGCGTGCGGCTGGCCCACAGGCGGCACTCCCGGGCCCGCCAAGAGCTGGCGCCCGAGCCGGCCTGCCCCACAAGGCCCGGGGCACAAAGGGAGGCCCAGCAGCCCCCAGCCGTGGTCCACAGAGGGCAACATCAGCTGCCCCGCTCCAGTTCCCTACCCCGCCCTCTGCCCAGGGGACCCCCAGAAGGGGCGGCACCGAGGAGCCCCTGCGCCCTCTTCAGGAGCCTGGACACGGGGGGAATGTCCTCACAGCCGCCCCAGCGGGCACAGGACCCGCTGGCCCCAACGCACCTCTTCCCTCCCCACTTGCTCTGGCTGGGAGGTGCCTGGGGGGCTTGCGGCCCCATCCCCCCGATGCCCTCAGACATGCCCCCCAGAGAGTGGGGGCGGCAGGTCTCCGAGGGGGCCGAAGCAAGCAGCCCGACGTGACCCCGCAGCACGCGGGCATTGGCATGCGCAGCGTTCACCGGGCCGCGGCGGGACCGTTGGCGTGCCAGCAGCACTGCGCCGCTCATGTGGCCACCTGCAAGGTGGGCGTTCGCGGCTGCGGCCTCGGCAGCGGCCGCGCGAGGCCCACTGGTGCAGGAAGAGGGGCCTGTGCTCCGCACCCCCACACCACAGGGGCCACCCAGGGCACAGCCAGGCGGACAAGCGAGGGCAGGGGGCCGGGGAACAGCCACCCCAGCAGGCGACCCCAGGAGTGGGTCTGTGTCGGGCATGAAAGGGGCCGTTGTCGGCGTGTGCTTCAGGGCCAGGGAGACGCCGACTCTTCGGTTGAGGGGGGCGAGGCCTGCGAAGAGGGGCTGCAGGTGCAGCGACAGCGGAGGAGTGAGAGCTCGTGCCAAGGCCACTGGTGCCAGGTGTTCAGGCGGACCCTGGAACCGACCGGGTCTGGACGTGCTGGGCGGGGACAAGGGAGAGGGCCAGCCCGGCCCCTCACCCTGTGATGCACCCCCAGGAGAGAAGGGCTACCTGACCAGAAGGGCCTGCATACCGCCAGACTGGCAGCCCAGCATGACTCAAAAAGCGATTTCTCAGGGTGTCCAGTTTGGGTTCACAGAATCATGGAAGGGCAGAGTCGGAAGGGGCCATGAAGTCCCTCGGGTCCCCCCCACTGTGGGTGCAGGACGCCAAACTGCACCTCCCCACTCCAACGCCTGCCCAGTTTCTTCTGAATGCCTCTGCTGTGCCCACCAGCCTCTCCAGGCAGCTGGATCCACTGTCCCGTTGTGCTGACAATCAGGAAGCTTTTCCCAGTGTCCAGCCTGATTCTGGGTTGTCACAGCTTGACTTGCTTCTAGAAACACAGAAACTGAGTGAGACAGAAGGGGTCTCCCGGGCCATCTAGTCTGACCCCCAGCTCCATCCGGCTCCACTCATGACATGCATGTCCTGCACTCTGATCTTGACCTTCCTCTTTGTGACAGCCTTTGATGTACTTATAGAGGGATAAAGCCTGGCCTCTGTGTATGCTCAGAGGCTTTCTTTGCTGGCTATCGTTTGCTAGACGTTCATTGGAAATAAAGAGCCGTTGGCAAGAGCGGCCTATTGCTGAAAGAGGGGTGCAGCTCCTGGCAGGAGGCTGGGGGGGCAGGTGCCTGCTGCCTGCGTCTCAGCCGGGGCGGGGGCTGAGCGGAAACCCGCGAGCCCGTGCGGTCCCTGTTCCCAGGTTCATTTCACTGGGAGCGGGCGAGGGGGGCCGTGGATGTCGCGTGGGAGAGGGTCGGGGGCCAAGCAGAGGCGGGTGCCCCGGCAGCAGGGGCAGAGCTGTTTGAGGACAGAGTCCTTCTGGCTTCGGGGGGCGGGAGGAGCAACTCTTGCAGGTGGGGCAGCTGTCCTGGCGGCTGTGTGGTGGCTGTGCTGCGGAGCTGGCCCTCCAAGCGCACGGCGGGGCGGCGAGGCCAGGTGAGGCCCCCAGAGGCCCCCAGGGACTCCCAGGGGGAGCAGCCTGCAACGGGTGCCTCAAGAGCAGGCGGCCGGAGCGCCCGAGCTGGCCCTCAGGGAGGCCCGTCAGGGCCGGAACCCCCGGAAGCTCCCCCTGGCCCCCTCGCAGCGCATGCCGCCCGGCACCAGCACCGCCTCCTGGGACGCCGCCGTCCTGGGGAGCCCCAGGAGGCCCAAGGCATGGGGCTAAGAGGGGGGCCCACTGAGGCAGGCTGGCGCCTGAGGGGACGCCCTCAGCTGGATCGAGACCAGGGAGCAGCTGCAGAGGAGCAGCAGCCGTGGCCGTCTGGTGGGCCGAATCTGTTGGAGGGTCGGGAAGGAGGGCGGCCGCTGGAGCCCCCTCCGGCAAGAGGAGCAGACGCAACCGTCCCCGCACACCACAGGGCCGAGGGTGACGGCCTCCTGCTCCCGGTGGTGTCCGGGAGCAGACCGCCTCTCTGTGCCACGCCTCGGGAGCACAGCGGGGACCCGGCGAGCTGAAAGGCGGGAAGCAGGAGGCCCTGGCCAGGGCCTGCCTCAGCCCCAGGGCCAGGCCAAGTCCAGCACGGCAAAGGCCTGCTCTGCTGGAGGGAGCGGCCGGCCCGCGCCAGCCTCCTCCCACAAGCCTGACAGCTGCAGGTCCCGATAAGCCGCCAGCCCAGCACCCGGGCCAGGCGTGCAGCTCCCCTGCGGAAATCCCCGTGCCTGAGCCGGCCACCGGCACCTGCGGCAGCAGAGCCCCGGTGCCCCTCCTTCCCCGGCCCCAGCAGCCACTGCTCGGGGGGCCCTAAAACAGGGAGGCCTGGGGCATCCCCAAAATGGAGGCAAGCCAGGACGAGGCGGGGGACGAGGCCCTTCCCGGCTTCGGCAGAGGACTCGCTCTGCCACGCGCCCCAGGCGTTCTTTCGGGGGAGCGTGGGGGGGCTTCTGCTGCTTGCTGCAGCATCACCGAACGCCAGCAGGGCCCTGGTTCCAGAAGCGGGAGAGGCTCCTTCGCAGGCCGAGTCCTTTGCCGGCCTCTGGAGCAAGCGGGCAGCCATCCAGCAGGGTGTCGTGGCCACCGCGGCACCCAGAGCCTGAGTGGCAGGGGGTGGTGTGGCCCAATGCACGCCAGCACTGGGGAGGAATGCCAGCGCCGCCACCCCAAGCGGGCATCCCCACGAGAGGACCTCTCCTCTCCCACCGAGCCCCCGAGTCTCACGAGCCGCCCTTAGTGGCACTGGCGGCACACACGGACTTCGCTGCCGCTGCTGAAAAGCCATCGGGGCAGCCCGCAGCCATTTCACATCTTAAAACAAGTAAAACCAGGCAATGGGATCAGCAAGCAGGTGCCAGCCTTGAAAATGACATGTTCCAACCGATGGAGCAGAAGAAGCGCGTTCTCCCAGCCTTTCTGAAGGCCAAAGGAACTGCAAGCTGCTGTCAATCTCCAGGGAGAGGGTGGGAGAGACTCGGGCAAAGCCCTTTGGTCCATGCAGGTCTTAACACCCTGCAGATCCATGGGGCATGTGGTTCCCTGGAGAGCAGGTTCGAAGTCTGTGAAAATTTTGAGGGATAAAATCGGTGGTGTGACTTGGTGTACTGCACCAGCAGGGAGGTGGACCCGAAGGCCTTCACGGCCCCTTCCGACTTTGCCCGTCTGAGATTCGATGACACTTTCAGTTGCGTGCAGGAGTTTTGAGATGGGTATAATATGGTTCTGATGCTACAAGCTAGCTATGCGGGTTCTTGGCGCTCTATGGGGCTGCCCCACATAAAGCACAACCACCTCCAGGTGATGCGGCCAGGCCACAGGAGAAGGCTGGCAAGTCGGACTGACTCAGGCAGAGCCGCAGCGGGTGCTCTGAGCGCGATTCTGCAATGCACACACTGCCGCCATCACCTGACCCCCTGAGCAGGCCCAAGCCACGGACCTGATCTCCCAGAGTGAGCGCAGCCCTATCTAGAGCGGGGTGTCAGTCCACACCGCAAGGCTGGCGTGCGGCTATGCTCCGGTGGGTGCAGCGTGCAGAGGCCACCACCAGGGAGGTGCTGCAGTAGCCACCCAAGACCACCACGAAACCTGCTGGAAGCCACGCCATGCCACGCGAGGGCCCTCCAGCCTCTTCCAGCTCTAGTCGCCCAGCACTCGGTGGCCCCCCCACGCGAGACGTGTCTGGGGACAGCGCTTGTGCGGCAGAGGGAGGAGCCCCGCACAGGAAGCCTGCAGAGTCGGCCGGGCTCGGCCTGGTTTGGGGCGCACCTGCATCTTCTCCCCGACCCGAAGGAGGTGAGGGAAAGTGGGAGGTGGAGGCCACCCCACTGCGAAGAAAGCCGCAGCGGAGGAGCAGGACTGGGCAGGGCGGCCACTCACTGCCCCGACCCACGCAGTCCTCCTTCCAGGCGGAGGGCCTGGCCCCGCACCCCACGCCGGCCGGGGGACTGTTCCGCCCCGGGCGCATGGCACTGCCGACCCGCCTCTGCCAGAGCGAGCACCACGGGCCCGGCAGGGCCGGCCCTCCCGGCCGCAGGACCAACGTCCTCCAGGGGAACGGGCGCGTCCAGCCACCAATGCCGGCGCGCTTGGTGGCCCAGAAGAGGCACCGTCACCGCCGAGGGATGAGCCGTGGCTGCGCGCCTCTCCTTCCCTCCGCCCCGCGCTCACCGCTCACCGGCAGCTTGGATCCCGCCCAGCTGCCCCACCGCCGTGCCCCGCGGAACAGGCGGCGGGAAGGACGAGGCACGCGGGGCTGCGGGGGCAGCCGCGGACCGGAGGCCGGACGGCGCGCGCTCACGGGCTGCCTCCGCCCCACCCGCTTCCCCCGCTGCGCCGCGCCCGCGCAGGGCTCCGTGGGCTACCAGCGCGGCGCCCGCCCCGCAGCCTGCGCCCCTCGCCCTTCCTGCTGCCTCCCAACCGGGCCAGGCCGGGGGCTGTCGCCGCCCGCCCCCGAGCCTCCTGCCGGGCGCGGTGCGCGTGCACAGCTCGCATGCCCGGGCGGGGCGAGAGAGCCCGGACGAACCCCGCCTGGCTGCGCGGCCTCCCGGCCGAGGGCACAGGGCGCCCGCAGGCGGGGAGCCGGGCGGGGGAGCCGCGAGCTCGCCGCCGCTTTCCTCCCGCCTCGCCCGCCGCACGTGCCCAGGGGCTGCGGCGAAGCGCGCGCGGCGGCGGCGGCTCCTCTCCGGCGGCGGCGGCGGCAGCCCGTGCCCTGCAGGGCGGGCGGCCGGGAGAAGGCGCCGATCGGGCAGAGCCGCGGGCATACCTGCTCCTTGCGCTTCTGCCAGCGGCCGCACGGGCTCTCCTCCAGCACCTCGCTCTCGTCCTCGCTCTCCTCCTGCGACGCCGCGGCCACTGGGGCCGCCTCCGCGGCGCCCCACATGCCTGCCGCGGCGCCCGAAGCCCGGGGACGGCGGCGCCTCTGCCGAGCTCGCTGCCCGGGCGCTCGTGGGCCGCGCGCCGCGGCCAGGGCGGGACCAGCGCGGCTCCGCCCGGT